TATTAATTACTTTCTACAGCTATGCAAGTCTATATTAAGACAGCATTAAATGTTTACTTTAATCTGTACTTTCAATCTCAAGAATCAAAACATTTTTAAAAATGTAATTTCAAATGTGTTGGAATTTAACACACACCAAGAAAGTAATTTCGTTAACTAAAATTAATTACTGCAGCAATTTATTTAAATTAAATTTTAATACTAAGAAAAGAAAATAATAAAAGTATCAAAAATTTAAAACACTGTTTTTTGACTTCTAAAATCAATATATATAGATAAAAAAATTGATTTAAATCAATGATTTTTTTAAAAAAATCATTTGATTTAAATCATGATTTAAATCGTGATTTTAATCAAGCTGATTTAAATCAACGAACCCTGAATGTAACTAATATTTTTCTATAGGTTAAACACCTTAACAGAGTAGGGTACAAATTGTCGCACATAAAGAGGAGTTTCAAAGTTTTTTTTCTCCAAAAGAAACTTCTTTAATAGAAATGATATTAAGAATAAAAAGTGAACTCTTCCATAAATAACATTTTTAATGAATAACAAATATTTACATTAGTTTTTGGATCAATCAGCGAGAACCATATCACTGATTCTAACCCAATTATGGTCAATAGCTCTTCCCAGAAATTCAATCCACACATCATCTGCTATGGAATAAAAATGGCAACTCCTGAAAGGATTTTATGAATTAGATAAATGTATTTTAACAATACAATTTCAAAAAGTTTTCTTTTAACTTACTTGGCAAATGATAAGATTTCTTTAGAATTATCTCTAATCATTAATGCCTAAAAAATTAAAGAATATCTATAAGTAATAAATAAAACAATTTTCATTTGAGAAACTTAATAGTAAGCAGGGACACGGAAATGGGCCCCTATAACATGTCATACTGTTTAAAATCAAACTTCACATACATAAAATAAAGCATTTTTAAGATAACTTTTAACTAATTTAAGGCGACTTTCAGAATGTTTTTAGAAATTATGAAGGGATTTTTTTGAAATTCTCATTGTACATTTATATTGTTAAAAACAACTTATATACAAAATTTCAACAAAAATATTTTAAAATTTAAGAAATTAAAATCTTGACTGCCCAGGTGCGCCCATGCGTCTAAAGACGGTACTGCATTTGAGATGGCTCAGAAAATTTACAAGTGTCGTAATTGCAGACTTTAAAAAAAGCCTTACCACTCAGTTTAAAAAAAGCAAGTAGTTCTTATAATTTATGTGCAAATAAGTCTTGGCGTCAATTACAATCCAATAAAAAATTTATTATAAACCTTTTGTATTGTATTGCTTTCAAAAAAGGAAACATTTTAAAACATATGCTTGAGCTAAAAGACGAAGCTCTGCTATTTCTGAATGAACACCTACAATCTAAAAAAAAGATGTTATTTAAAAATAGATTCCATGATTTCGAGTGGTTAATAAAAGTAGCTTATTTGTGCAATATATTTGCTACAATTCAATGAGTTGAATTTAAATTAGCAAGGCTTTGATTTCAAAGTAGCGGAAAAAGTCGCTGCAATGATTTAAAAAAAAATCTGTAGAAACGACTTTCTAATAAAAATTTTAAATCTTTTGAAACATTATGTAAATTTTTTGTAACAGGGTGCGTAGCCACATTTTTCAACAAAAAATAAGAACCTTTCAAGTTCTATTTAAGCATTAAAAAAATATTTTAAGCACTAAATACATTAAAAAAATGTAGAATAATTTTCAAAGACTTTACATGATAAAACAACTAGTTTCTGACAAAGAAATCTTTTTTTGATTATACTAGCCATTATAATAAGATCGAGAGGTTTTTTGATTCGATATCAGAGGGTGGAAAATGAAGCCTGAAATTGAGAATGTCTCGCAAAATACAGCATAGTTGCACCCTATGTGAGTACAAGAATCTCATCGAACTAAGCTCTAGACCCACATGCTGACTCGTAAGTATTTCATCAGACATGTAAAATGATTGGCCCATGGATTGTGGCTGAATAAATTAAAAAAACGTTTAGCAATGTGAAAAGCACGCACTTGGATAATATGTGGCGAAAACCGACATGGTAAAGAATAAATATCTCATACTTGAAAAAGGGAAAATTAAGCACTTTTTAAAAACAGGTAATGAAAAAAGCAACTTCAAGGGCTTTTAAAAAACGAAAATCAAAAATAAACACCTTTAAGCACTTTTTAAAACCGCTACACACCATGTTTTATTACAGATGCAATGAACTGTTTATCATCAAGAAACGAAAAGTAATTGCAAAAGCAAAGAGGGGAGGAGATTCACCCTGGTGATACACATAAAGATAAAATAAGGCTTACGTGTTGCCGAACAACAGAATGATTCATTGGAGGGTAAAGAGACAAGACCAAGTCATCAGCAATTAAGCTGCTTGATTTAATAATATCGGCAACTAAATCGAGTTCATCAATACAATTTTGAGTATTTCCATTCCCCCTCTGAGATATAGCTTTTTGAACTTTCTTTATGCATGCTTTGGCAGCCTTCACGAGACCCGAACATGGAAAGAGCACATTTCTGTCAGAGTCTGTCCACGATGGATTGATTGGAACCCTCAAACCATTCAAAGGTGTCAGAAGAGTCAAATCAACACCATTATTCGATTCTTCTTCTTCTATTGCCTGCAGAAAAAAATAACATTTTAAATTTCACATTTAAAACTAAAATTTTGAAACAGATTTAGGGTATCTGCTACATTTTAGATTTTAAAATCCATGACTAATTCCAAGAATCTTTCAAAACTTAACGAAGTTACTATTTTCTCCGACAAAAACGCAAGAATAAATTTAAAAAAGCTTTATAACAACATTAATTGAAATGATAGGTATAACCAAAACAGTTATACTCTGCATCTTCATATTTATAGATTTTAAATTTAAAAAAACAGAGTAAAGAGTAGAAGCAACAAAATAGCTGAAAAAAATACAAAAGCAAATAATATTTTTTCATTTTTTTCAGCAGAATTATATTCTAAAGATTCTTTTCTTGTTCATTGGAAAAGAAAAAATACTCCTGATTTTTCTGTTCTCATTTCAGAATAAAAAGAATTCGCCAATGACTGGCTAGCTTCAGCTAGAATTTGAAATTGATAAAAAAATAAATACTAACAAAAATTCTGAAATCACAGTAGTTTAAGAGGTAATTGCTCTTAGAAATGATATTTTTTCTTTCTTTTTTTGAAAGAACACCACAATTTTAAAAGAACATGACAAAACATTTTATATTTTAATAAAATATGACTGTGAGTGGGTATTTTGCAACAAATTCAGATATTCAGAACACCAACAAATGGGAGGGGTGTGGGGATACTATTTTAAAAATTAGATTTTTCGGCAAATTAAATCCATAATTTTTTTTAAAAAATAGATAAAATCATGAAATTTCATGGCAAATTTTGTTCAATACAGAAATTCATGACTTTCCAGGACCTTGTAGATTACGAAATTAAAACAATCAACATTTTTGTTCCATTTATTTATTTTGATGTCAATCAAATCTGATTTTAAGAATACAAGCGACTGCACTATTGAACCAAACAAATAATTATGAGCAAATTTCAATGAAACTTGATTATTTATCTAGTAATGATGTTTTTCTAGGAAAAATTGTGACTATGAATGCAGTCAATCTTTGCTATAAAATATGAAATATACTATGAGTTAAATGCTTGTAACAATAATTTAATGTAAATTAATAATGCATGAAAGTTTTAATAAAATCTAATTTAAATACTATGAGTACTGCTAAACCTATTAATAACTTTACAAGCAATATATAATAATAGAACTTTTAAAATGATTTGTTGTAATGCAAACCATATGTTACACATTTTTTTTATAAAAATTCGAATCTGTGCTAAAAAATGCTGTCCTTTTATCCTATATATCATGGAAATGATCAATTGTAATTGTCCACATATTGTAAATAGAAGCGAAATTATTTATTTTACATCAGTAGAAAAAATTAAAAAATTTTATTGAAAAACTAAATACTGCTATATTTTAGATTTTCAAATTCATGATTTTCCATGAATTTTTCATGTCTTAACGATATTATTTTCTTCGACAAAAACGCAACAATAAATTTAAAAAAGCATTATAATAACATTAATTGAAATGATAGGTATAAGCAAAACTGTTATACTCTGCATCTTCATATTTATAGATTTTAAATTTAAAAAACAGGGTAAAGAAAGAGTTGAAACAATAAAATAGCTGAAAAAAATACAAAAGCAAATATTTTTTTCCTTTTTTTCGGCAGAATTATATTCTAAAGATACTTTTCTTGTTCATCAGAAAAGAAAGAAATACACCTGATTTTTCTGTTTTCATTTCGGAATAAAAAAAATTCGCCAATGCTTCAATTCGTTTGCTTCAACTAGAATTTTAAATTGATAAAATTAAAAAAGAAAAATAATAAAATTTTTTAGATCACAGAAGTTTGAAAGATAATTCGCTCTAGAAATGATGTTATTTCTTTCAGTTTTTGAAAGAACACCATAATTTTTAAAGAACATGATAAAGTTATTTTATATTCTAATAAAATATGACTGAGTGGTGATTTTAGGAATTAAGATATTTGGAACTGGATAAAATTGGGGGGGGGGGAATTCATTTCAAAAATTAGATTTCTCGGAAACCTAAATCCATGACTTTACATGATGAAATTGGGGAGGGGGGGGGATTCATTTTAAAAATGAGATGTTTCGATCATTTTAAAAATTAGATATTTCGGAGATATTTTACTAAAATTAGAATAATCGCTTAAAAGTATTTTTTCAAAATAGGTATATCCGGCTTTTGAGATCAATTTTGACCATAAATATGCATTATATAGTATGCACAAAATTAATTGGAGTATGAGACAATTACAACAACTAATAGTCTGCATTGAAGTAATAAAATACCGATTTTTCTATACATTGAATTATTTTTTATCTCTCATAGGACCTTCTATGGGCCGAAACGAATGCTGCCCCCTAAAATTATTCCTCATATGGCATACATCCCACTAGTTTATTTCAAAATTGGCGAGTCACACTTCCCTAGTCTCCCTTGTAAGAATAATCATTGATAATGATTAATGAGAAAAATAATAACTCAGTATGGAAATTGTTTAAATCAGTATTAGTTTTATTAATAAATTTAAGCTGCTATACATTATAAATAGATTTTTTTTTAAGACGGTAAAAAAAATAAAAATATTAAGAATTATTTCTCGGTAAATTGAAAGACAAATTATAGAGAATAATACCTTCAGAAGATTGTTGATTAAAAAATATAATTGATAATTTTAGATTTCTCTCTGGTAGTGTTAAAATCTTTCCAAACTGCCCAGCATGCAGGCTTTCCCCCAACATATCCTGGACTGAACAAGAGGGACATTCTAGAAAACCCACTTTTGGTGGTCATGAATTTTATGGACATTGTTTAGTCCTGCTAACTTTGGGAAGATTCCTCTCTCTCCCTATTACAGTGTAGTACTTCCAGCAAAAAGGTAAATAAATAAAAAGAAATAACTAAAGGAGATTTACATTCATGAGTTCTTGAGAAGCATCTTGAACCATATCATGCTGCTCTCTACATAATTTTATCACTGCCTCAATGTTATCTGAAAATAATAAATGTATGTCAGAATTTACACAAAAGTGTTTCTATATATCATTTATTCAAATGAATGACATAAAAAAATTATGCTAAGAGGATGGAAATTTCTCTTCAGTTACAATGTTTCATACAATAATACATTACAGTGTAAAGTCGCGTATCTGGAATCGGTGGGACTTCCAGAAGTCCGTATAATAGATTTTTCCGTATAATACACCCCCAAGGTAAACAAAGCTTAAAATGAATTAATAAACGATCTGAATCTAAGAAGCAAAAAATAAATAAACACTATTTTTAAGGGGAATAATGTTTTAGCATTAAAATATCTAATCAATCAAATATAAAATATTAGAAAAAAAATATTATTGCTGAAAATATGGAAAACGAAAAAAATTTAACAGTTACGAAAATATTAATCCGCCATTTTGAACTAGAACGATTCAAGCAGGAAGGGGAAATTCTAGGAACAAAGCTTAAAATGATCTAAATCTAAGAAGCAAAAAATAAATAAACATTATTTTTAAGGGGAATAATGTTTTAGTATTAGAATATCTAATCAATAAAATATGAAATATTAGAAAAAAAATATTATTGCTTAAAATATAGAAAACGAAAAAAAATTGACATATGAAAATAATAATCCGCCATTTTTAACTAGAATGATTCAAGCAAGAAAGGGAAATTCCCGTCATTCATTAAGGTGGGTAGGTGGAGGAGAAAAATTCATTTCCGGGTGACCACTTGGAT